ACAAATTTTTGTATCTGAGATTCTCGTATGGATTTCATGGCAAATTATTATGCATCCAAGACACTCATGTGGATGTCATGGAAATTTTTTAGGGATCCAAGACTCTCATATGGATGTCACACATGGAACTCAAATCGTTTTGGAAATATCTAAACTGTTAATGGTACACAACCATTTTCTTGGATCAATGATTAAGAAAGCAAATAAATCATGCCTAACCATCGTTCATAAAACCTTGCGGACTGGTACTTCAGAATCGCAAACAATTGTACCAAATAACAGATACCACATCACTTGAGGACTTTCAACAACAGCAACAACTAAAATGGATGGTGCATAGAACTCGAGTAGAAAATAATTATATAATCAAGATATTAACATTCCACACTACTTTGAACAAAAGGTTACAAATGAAACCCTTCAATACTGAAGAGTGATTAGTCAGTGAGCTTGAGAAACCTGTTTTTCTGAAAAATTGATTTAACAGAAAGATTTTATAAATTTCAACTGAAAGTAGCACTGGCTGTTTACTCATTGAATGCCAAATGTTTCTATATAATGAAAAAACTAAATTTATCATTGCTTATCAGAAGAACTTCCTGTTCATATTAAACTGTTGCTTTATTTCGTCTTTATTTTTCCCATCATTCTTTAAGCACAATTATCTTTTTTATTTTTATTTTGATTGAATTTGTGTGACTCAATGTTTTCATAATAAATTTAATCTTAGCTGGCTTTGGTAACATTTTCTACATATCTTTTTTTATGAGCATTTACAGCATGTGAGTTTCAGCTTTTAATGTCTATCATTATTAAAAATATTGATAACTTGTTTTGGGAGTTTCAAGTTTTATTATGCAAAGTGCGACATAAATTTTTATTTATAAATAAATCCAAAAGATATTGGCCAACGAAACATAACTGTCAAACACAATATCTTAACACCCTCAAATAAATTATATTGAAGTATTTTAAACAAACAAACAAACATATAAGTTGAAATTCACATATATCTTGTATCTTGAAAATTTTGACAACTTTGGTTACTTCATACCAATTTTATTGTGAAAGCATTGACTTGCCTAATAAAATCTGACATAGTGATGTACTAATACTTTTGATCTCAATGTCTTCAGTCAGTTATGTACCATGCGTGATACATGCTTAGGCAATCATGTCTCTTTCGATATATGACTGATGAGGCAGATTTTTTCCTGCAGTAGGTTGCCATTTCTTTCTGCGGTAGACCAGTTACCATCCAAGACTATAGAACCCGGTCTGTCCTGCTATTTACCCATAGCTGGGGGGGAACAGTATTTATACCTATCCCTAGGGTATTAGCACATAAGTGAACATAATGAATTCGACTGGAATTTGAACTCAGCTCTCCGATTCCTCAATCCAAGCCGCTATTCATTACTCCATCATGCCTCAATGTCTTAGTACACTTAATTCATCTGTCTGATGAAATATTAAGTTAACCAGATCTGACTTCATGTTTTATCGCTATATAAAAATAAATATTTGTTGGAATCTAAAGGTTTATTGTTGAATGATAGCAACACCTATCTGCACAGTAAGAATGAAAGCCTGTTCATTCTGCACTGATGTAAAAAAAACATTGGTCATTTTGAATGTTCTTAAATTTGAAATCTCAAATTAATGACTATGTTGCCAGTTTGAAACTTAAAATAGGTCATAAGGCTAATTTGATTGATAAAGAGCATTAGTCAATAGCTTTAAAACTAAATAGATAAAATAAAACTAAATAGATAAAATAAAACCATAGTTGAAATTGAAGAAAATGTTTGGTAGGTACCAAAAAAGTGAATTTAATTGAAGATCCTGAACAACTCTAATGCAGGTTTCATAAGAGCAACTTGAAGGCTTTTTTGCTGATCCATTCTGTATCAAGATACATCATAGAAAATCTTTATCAAGCTATGAAAATTTTAGGGACTGTAGCAATAAGGAAGTGTCAAAAAGCACAAAATCTCCTAAATCAAGTGGTGAAATATTCATTACTAAGCTTTAAGTCATCCATGACAAATATCTGAAGAATGCATGTTTTTTTTTTTTTTTTCAATTTTTCTTTTCACCACCTAATTCTATGCTACTATTGATGTTCCAGACAAATGAAGCAAAGGCTGAGTAGCTATTAGCACAAAACCATTCTAACAGGTTGAGGCTCCAACAGTTCCAGATTGTAGTAAGATGACCGCATGAATTGCATTTTTTCTTTTTGAAGGCACACATTCAGCCATGGTTAAAGAAGTCAAATGCTTTCAAAAAGATAATTTTTATACACGACATTATATCACATTCAGCAGATAAAACAAATCAGTATCTGAAGAAAATTGATTTCAAAGACACTCATTTGAAGTTGCTAGCTTCTTGTGAAGCATTCTAAAAAGAAAAGCTTGCTTTAGCAAATAGCAATTTTAAGAAATATCTAATAACTTCGTTTTTTTGTTCTATTGTTTTTTTTTTTTTGCTTTTTTTTTGCTTTTATCTTCTCTTTATCTGTCTCTCTTTTTGGTCACTTGCCCATATGCTTTGTTTTTTTTTTTTTTCTTTTTTAGTCTCTCTATCTCATCATGCTTATTAAACTTCAAGATGCACATATATCAAAACAGAATTAGAAATTACACCCTGAAATAATTTTCATATACAACAGATTGTATCTGTCTATATTTCTGAGATGAGGTATTATGTACATTATTTACATTCAGACTATTGTCCTCATTTTTGTTGCCATATTTATTACGTTTCAGCCATTGTACGCTCTGGTCTTCTTCAGGTGGTTGGAATGTCGAACTGATACCTTTATTTCGTTCTCTGGGGCAGACTGTTCTAGTTCCACATGCCATTTTAATGGATGTCTGTTATCAGTTATCACCTGTTAATTTCCCTCTGAAAGTTCTTTTCTGCCTTAACCGGGTATTGAACTAACACTCTTTGGGCCCTGTCACTGGATCTAACTAACACCTTTATCCACTGTGCCATGTATTCTTAAGGACATGGCACAAAACTTGGCATATGGAACTAGAAAAGTCTACCCCAGTGAGCGAAATAAAGGGTTCAGTTCGACATTCCACCCACCTGAAGAAGGCCGAAGCGTACAACAGCTGAAACGTAATAAATAGGGCGACAAAGATGAGGACAATAGTCCGAATAATGTACAACTGATTGTGCTTTAAATATGACTCTTGTAATCTTTTCATTTTTAACACAAGAGCCTTTCATTCATTTTGAGTAAAATGTTCTCGCATCAACCATTTTTAGCATATTTTGCTACATAATGTTGGCCTCTATGGTTAACATTTTAAAAATATTCCATTTGTATTGGCAATGTTTGATTTTGGTTAGCAGACTGACTAAAAATGTATACACTTACACATATCAGTTGTACTAAATTAGGTTTGTGCTCACTATCAATAGCTTGAAATCCCTTTCATTTCATGGGAGATAACAAAAATAAATGTTTGCTCTATATTTATCCACACAAAAGGAAATTACTTTTTGACCAGCTTTTCTTTCATTCTATTTTTGTTGTCTCTTATTGCAAAATCCAAAGCATTTTATGGTTGTTAAGTAAACATGGATCAGAAACAAAGAAATAATTTCTAATGGTTTCTTCCTTAATGCCTGTACAATATAATACAACTTTCAATTTTATTTTAAAAAATTAAAGAAAAAATTCTCTTTTATACTGTGTCCCTTCAGAACATGGGTAATAATGACTTTCTGCAGCTTCCTATCCTTTGTAATTCTAAGCAACCTTTCTCCCATTACTATTCCTCTGTTCTGTCATCCATTTGCAGTAGCTCATTAGGTAAAATAATGTTGCCATCTGTCCCTCTTGCTTTCAGTATGTCCTGTGACTATCAAATTCTCCAAACACTCTTTCCTTATTGTATGTCTCAAAAATCTCAACTGTCTCTTTCTGATTCTAAGTATAATTGTCCATTTTGTTTTTCCATAAAACTTCCTTGTTCACATGTTCCATCAGTGGTATTCTTAGCATCCTTCTGTATAACCACATCTGTTGTTTCTTTATCTGTATGGAAATTGTTTAATATTCACTACCTTATAGGAGGATTGATATTGCATAGCAGTTCAGGACACTTCCTTTGTTTTTAATGAAATTTTCCTGTTTCTTAATACTTTGCTTAGCTTTTGAAAGGCATCTTTTGCTATTCCAATGCACCTTCAGATTTCAGTGTCACATTTTCTGTTCTTTGTTAAAGCACTTCTCAGATATTTAAATTTTCTTGCTTGATTTTGGCATTTCCACTTCATAGTTCATATCTTGGGATGTTCTTTTACTGACAACCATACAGTCAATCTTCTTACAATTGATGTTTTAGCTCTTTCCTTTACTACATTCTCTGGAAGTTCCTGCAGTTTGCTTTCTGTGTCTGCGATTAATACTAATGCTCCTTCAAATTTCTCTATTTTCCATCATTTGTTATAAAAAAAAATCCTGTATTTGCTCCATTTTGACATTTCCAATTCATAGCTCATATCTTGGACTATCCTTATTGCTAACAACCATATATTCTATCTTCTTCCAATTGGTGGCTAGTCATTTCTTCTCAATTTCCTTGACTACCTTGTCTGATAGTTCTTGGAGTTTTATTTCTATGCCTGATATCAAAACAGTATTATTGGCATATTTTATGTTAATATCATGTCTACCAATAATAAATCCTGGTAGGACTTTTAGTTTTCTTAGAATTTCCTTGCTTTAAAGATTGAGTAAATCCGGTGAATGATGTGTCCTTGTACTCACGCCAAAAAGAAATTTGAAACTCTTTATATCAAATCTTCATGTTCAGCACTTGTAATTAATTTTTATTTTGTATTTTCAGATCCCTGAATTATTTGCTTCAATCCGGAAAGCTACCAAAGAACACCGTGATGATACCAGTGATGGAAGTCTTTTTTTTCATGATGTTGGTGATTCAGCTGAACCAGCAAAAGCCTTCTGTGAGGTTATGTACCTTGGCAAAGCCCAGGTGGACAATCGCAAGTTGACTTCAACAGATATCGACCGATTGGCCGACAGAATATGTTCCCAAGATGATGATGGTTACCTGGGCGTGGACAAGATAGACAGCCGACAGAGACATGCCAGCGATGCCAGTGTCCGGAGTCTACCAGCATCCCTGGATTCTACTGTCGTAGTCACAGAGAATGACCTTGAACAGCAGCACAAACAGTTGCACGGAGTCAAGCTGAACGGTGTCTACGAGAGTGTTGAAGAATTTCATGGTGTTGAGTCACCGGGCAGTTCTTTTGAAAATATTGAAGAGTCGAGTGACATGAAAATTGACATGTCTAAGGATTTTACAGATGGTGACAAAGAGGTAAACCTGGAGGGAAAAGGTATCAGCAGTTCCACCGTGGACTCTGTCAACCAGACTATGCTTTTTAGGCTAGGAAAGGACGAGATTTCGCTCATTCATTTGGATCAGAAGAAAGTGATACTGGAGAGAAAGTTTTCAGACATTTCTTTTGTTTCACAGGTAATATACATATGTTTCTATTTACATTTTTTTTATAATTATATCGCATTTCATTAGAAATTTTTCACTGTGCTTGTCTTTTAAAACAATTTTTAGTTTTGATTCATAATCTCTGACCTTGTTAGTTCAGCAACACTGAATGAGTTATGCACATGATTGATCACTACAAGACACATGTGATTGATTGCTACAAACAAGGCACACATGATTGATCACTACAACCAAGACGCACGCGATTGATTGCTACAACCAAGATGCACGCGATTGATTGCTACAACCAAGGCGCACGCGATTGATTGCTACAACCAAGGCGCACGCGATTGATTGCTACAACCAAGGCGCACGGGATTGATTGCTACAACCAAGGCGCACGCGATTGATTGCTACAACCAAGGCGCACGCGATTGATTGCTACAACCAAGGCGCACGCGATTGATTGCTACAACCAAGACGCACGCGATTGATTGCAACAACCAAGACGCACGCGATTGATTGCTACAAACAAGACACACATTAACATTAGTATCTTGGGATTTATTCCCTTGGTTTAAAAGAATTATTTTCAAATAATTTCTCAGATTGACTGTGCTAAGATGACTCAATAACCACAAGAATAATAATAATAATAATTGTTTCAGTGGGATGTGTGACTGGGAGATGTTTTGTTTCTGTGGGGGTTGTTGCTGAGAGATACTTTAGCTATAAATGCTTTTATTTCTTTTGTCTATAATATAAAAAGCTTAGGAAATTAGCCGATTTCGCTACCTTGGTTTCAACCTTTTGGTACTTCAGTCAATTTCAGTCAATTGATTTCCTAACACTTTATTTTTGTTTTTTGTTTTTTTTTTTTTAAAAAAAAAAAATATGAACACTATATTTTTTTAAGAACTTATGTATACTTCATTTAATCTGCCACAGATACAATTCAAATACACTTGATTTTCCCCTCCTCCTGACATCTATCAGGCCTCATGTTGTGTGCTTATTCATTTATTTATTTTTTTTAAAAAAGTATAGCATTCATAGATTTTTATTTTTTTAAAAATAATTCAAAATAAAGCTTTAGGAAATCAATTGATTGAAATCACCTGAAGATACCAAAACGTTAAAACCAAAGTAGCAGAATCAGCTGATTTCATAATTTTCTATAATTAAAAGCTCTACATTTTAAATTTTTACCTTTTTATGTGTATTGAGCACTTTTTTAATACTACTGTTTCCTGGTTTAATTCAACTCTGAGCATTTAACTTTATTATTATACACACACAGAGGATGCAATGAATAAATTGTCTAAATTATGCAAAAATGAAAATAACATTGATATCTCGTTTTAACAGATATATTTACCAAAATTACGCAAAAATATCTTGAAATACTAAAGAGTAAATTTTTTCAATAAAGTCGCCATTGGATTCAACCACTGCTTCTAGACGACTTCAGAATCTCCAACTTTTCTGGACAGTCTCATAGTTTAATTTGGTGAATGCTGCCATAATCCTTGCCTTCAGTTCATCTTTGGTGTTACAAGGAGTTTTTTGGTCTTTCACTCAACTGTGCCCCACACAAAATAATCAAGGGGGTTGCAATCTAGGGAGTTAGGTGGCCAGATGTAAGTAGTGATGTGGTTGCAGAAATTGTCTGACAGTCATGACTGGGTTCTCTTGCTTGTGTGGCATGGTGCAGAGTCCTGTTATGAGACATCAGGTCTTCCAACAGCCACCCTCTTGACCCAGGACAGTGCTACCTCCTCAAGGCACTTGATGTAGGCTTCCATGTTGAGTTTGAGGCCCTCACCAACAAATTCATGAGTTCTTTTATCAAAATGACCAGTGAGTTTTCCAAGCTGCCTTATTTTTGTAGTCATCATTCAACTCATTCAACTCTTTCCAAATCCTCTTCACCGTCCTCAGATTGACACTCAAAAACTCTGAAATGTTCGTATTGGAGCTTCCAGCATAAATGCCAAGCAGTACAGCATGCCATTTTCAAATTTTGGGTGTGGTAAATTGTTATAGTGGTCTTTTTTTCACAGACAGTACTCAACTGACTCTACTATACTATTATATGGTTAACAAAAACGAGCAACACACATCCACAAAATTAAAAATATAAAATGGCAACAATTTACCCATCTCACACTCTGTGTGTGTGTATATATATATATATATATATATATACACACACACGTTTCATTAAATAATATAGACAAGTGTTGTCTATTTATTTTATGTAAATTTTTTTTTATACCAACAGCTTTCCATATTTCATACTTCTACAATTCACTTTCATGTGGTCATGTGTGACATCATGAGATGCGGTGCGATTTTTCACTTTTAGCATCTTATATGCGCGTGTTTATCATTGCTTAGAAATCATCTATGTAATCATTGACAGACTATCATCACTGTCGTGTCCGTATATTGTTTAATATGTTGTAATTGACATCTTTGATAATGGCTTAAGTAAGCCGAAAGCTTAGATTGTATTAAAAAAAATATGGATCACTATTGTGAATTTCTTTCTTCGTTCAACGATAATGTTATTAAACTTATCAGATGTTACGAAAAAAATTTACATAAAATAAACAGACAACACTTGTCTATATTATTTAATGAAACGTGTATGAATGAAAAGATGCTGCCTAAATACACATATATATATATATATATATATATAATATAATCTTTCTATAACAGGAAAGGAAATGATGAAAATGCTTGTGGACAACTCTTCCAAAACTCAGTTTTTATAGTAATGTACGTGATTGTTGTAATTGTTTCAAAGTAGACAACTGATGACAACAAAAACTTTCATAAGCCCTTTGCACCAGGAACTTTCATTATGTTTTGCCTAAAGATTACACTTCCTTGTTTGTTTAATCTATACATACATGTTTTTTTTTTTCTAATCTTTTCTAATTCTAAAATTACATTTCCTTTTTGTTTCTATTGAAAGAAAACGATCAATGCACACCACCATAAACTTTCCATTTACAGTTCTGCTCCAGAATTGGCATTTAGACAAATATTAATTTCTTCTGGTTTTTATATTTCTTTATTTTCAGCAACCAGATAGAATAAAGCTTAAAATAAGTCCACATTCTATTTTTTGTTTATAAGCTAATATTGCAAATTTACGACATATATATATATATATATATATATATATATATATATATAAAAAATGTGTTTTAAGATCTGCTATATTTATGGGTTAAAGTGCTCAATATCAGGGATAAAGTATATGGAAATATAAGACACACATGATGGCCTGATGATTGTGTTTAGCAGGAAACAGACTGTTGCCTCTGGGTGTTGATTTCAATGTCCAGTGTGTGTGTATATATATATATATATATATATATATATATATATATATATATATAAAGAAATCTACTCTTAAGGTGTACTATATTGATGGGATAAAGTGCTCATTATCAGAGATAGAATGTGTGTAAATATAAAAGTGAACATTGAAGTCAACACTTAGAAGCGACAGGCTGTTTCATACTAGATGCAATTGTCAGGCCTGACGATTGCGTCTAGCATGAAACAGACTGTTGCCTCTCAGTGTTGACTTCAATGTTCACTTTTACATTCATATATATATATATATATATACACACATACACACACACAGTACAACCTATTTAATATGGCAGTCCATGGTCCAGCAGCTACTTTGGTCTTGCACTTTTTGAATCAGTCACCATTTGCTTGTTGAGCAGCTACAAGGGCAGCATGACACATTATTTACAGCTGTTCACAGCTGTAGTGCTTTGGTGATACAGCCTTGTTCATTTCTTACGTATAGCTACATATTTACACATTCAGGATACTAATTATATATTATTTAGGGTTTTTTTTTAGTCTTTGTATTGCAGGAAACAATAAAAAAAACTTGTTTGGAAGCATTAATGATTGGTTTATTTTCTGTTTTAAGCTTTGTTCACCTTTGATAACATGGCAATATGAGGTGTCAAAACTATGTTTACATAGGATTGTTTTTTTAAGGGTGATTTCTGTCATCTAGGATTTTCTAAGTTCAGGAGTGGCCAAGTCCTGAGGATGCTGGATTAAAAAGGTTGGACTGTGTGTGTGTTTGTGTGTGTGTGTATAACATTTGTTATATATGAGATTCTAATTTATATTAGATTGTTTTTATAATTGTTATAGACAAGCGTATGGTTGCAAGAAAGAAATACGACAACAGCAGAAATAGATTTACGTGGTTTATTTCAACAGGAACGTGTGGGTTTAGGACAGCTACCTTGTGGTAAGGTTCATAAGCTTCGGATCTAGGTCGATCTCTCATAGTAGTTCACACATGTTGACGATGGTTGATGTTCCCCTTCTGGCAGCTGCTGACCGTGACAGGTCTTTACCCTGGCCACCTGTGGACTGCTCGTTGAACTTCTGTGTGACCCCTTTTATAGCATTTTTTAATGGCTTAACAGGCTCGAAAAACAAAGTGAGTATAATTAGGAGGGAAGCATTTTTATTGGACAAAAAAAAATAGAACACTTTAAATATTATTTTATTTTTTGACCAGAACACGTGTGTCGGGAATATTTGTAAATGAAGATAATGGTCATTTTGTGACGGGGTTTTGTCCCATTTACATCCGGCTCTCGCTCTTGAGTATTTGCCTGTATATCAGCCGAGATATGTCTTATTTTATTTTATAACATAATTCAATAACATTATCAAAGTAAATGATAAGTATAGTACTAGATTTGCAACTAAGTCTCATCCTATTATTGTTGAAATAGCTAGATGCAGCTGTATGTTCTATTCTATTTCTTCTCTTACAGTTCTTGCTTGTATAACACTCTTCCATCTTCTTGCCGCCTTGTCAGCTATGATTTTCAAAAATTTGAATCTAACATTAATCATGATCTCGTCTTTTAGAATCCTGTTCTTTTATTGTCCTTTCTCAATAATGTCTTCCCAACTTCACTCTCAGTAACTCTTTGTATTTTAATGGCATTAGCACCTTG